CAACTAGGGCATTTTTGATATTTGTTGTAGTACAGGAAGTTTTTTATGTATTCCAATAAATGTCATTAAAAGGTAATTTACATACATATGCAATGTTTGTATGGCAATATTTGAGGTTCATACAGCAGATATCTAGATTTCTTATCAAGTATTTAATAATTATAAAGTGCAAACATTGCTTATTACTTAATTACCAAGTTATTCATAAAATGCACATTGTTGTTTCACTGTATCGAAAAATGTTTCTTTTAACAAAACATATTCATCATAATAATTATATGTTTCCCAAAACGTTTGTTGTCTAAAATCAGTGGAGTAAACCAATCTGATTATTTGCATATCCTAGTAATTTTTAAAAAGCTAGGGTTAAATAGTATATAGGGAAAATACTTTTTGATATAATGTTTTCATATAATTAGCTTTAGGCCAGAGACTTCCTACCAAGGAATGAGACGAGACTCATTAATATTGCCAAGATTTTATAAGATTTTAAGCTTCGTATGCTGATTGGGAAAGAGCCAATATGTTGACTATATAAACTAAATGAACACACTAGCTAGCACACAACAATAACATTATTCTATTTATAGTTTTATTTTTATTAAGACCGGCATGTATATTATGATTTTTCACTTTGGTGAAATTTAATACAAGAGTGCCAGAGTTTCACAATAACAATTAACACTTGCCAGGTTGGCATTAATTAAAAACAATAAATATATTTGTAATTAGCATCGTAGATCCAGAGAGCCGTAATATTGTATACACGCCTATGATGTGGATAATATACACTAGCTGACTAGCAGTTGTTCCTTTTAGGCTCAAGGCTGTCACTACTAGTTTAGCTGCTCAATGAGTCCATAGTTCCCTGGTTCCACATTCCTCGGTTCCCCCCATCCACCTGTTTCCCCCTTCTTTTGTTCCCCAATTCCCCGGTTCCCCCCCTGACTAATAATAATAATAATGATGATGATGATGATGATGATGATGATGATGATGATGATGATGATGATGATGATGATGATGATGATGATGATGATGATGATCATGATCATCATCATCATCATCATCATCATCATCATCATCATCATCATCATCATCATCATCATCATCATCATCATCATCATCATCATCATCATAATAACAAGACGCCTGTTCTGGCGTTAACTCCGGCGCACGTGCCAGTCTTCAATATAGAGCTTCTGAACATAAACAATACAGTTCATATTCGCATTTAGATGCCTTGCGAACCTAAATGTTCGATCGCGAAATTCAAAAGGACAATGTACTTTAAAAAGTATAGAAGTTCAATTGTTCAAAAATGTAAATAAACTGCATGATATATTCGCTTTGTCTTACACTTTGCCTTTGGAATTCGCGCTTATATAGTTATATTAAATGTTCAATCCTGTGCAAACTACGACGTTCAACGCGCCCATACACGACCACATCATTGATCATCTTGTCAAACGGCGAAATAGCAGCGATATTATTAAAATAGGACCAAAATCTACATGTATTAAATATATTCTTACCCCAATTCAATCTAAACTTAGTCGAAAAGCGTGAAAAGAACGGTTTATTTGTTCCTCTTGGAGGAATTGCCGTATCATGCGAGCGAAATCGAATCGCGCATCGGAAAATTAGCCAAAGCTGTGCACCACAACTCTTAGCAGATAAGACTGGGACGTAGATAAATACGGTTACATACACATTTTAAATACTACAATGTTTCGCGCCATTCAGACTTGCGACGACGAAAAAAAAAAAAAAAACAACAAAACAAAACCAGGGCGAATTTTCAACTCCGTCGCTGACGCCGGAGTAATAATAAAACTCGTTCACCGGTTCCCTCTCCCCCCACTTCTTCATTCCCCTGTTCCCCCAATCTCCCATTCCCTCCTTCCGCATTTTCCCCATTTCCCCAATTCCCACATTATCGTATCCCCTATTCCCGCATTCCCCAATTCTTCATTGAATTGGCCTTCGTGATTTCAACAACCAATCAGAAATTTGCCGACGATTTTTCCGATGATGACGCATCCCGCCTCTGTTTAACAAAATTTCGATAAAAATACACTTTTTATTCGCAAAATTTAATAAACATAAGATAGTATGCGGTACTGCTAGCTTAGATTCTGTATCCAATCCACAAAAAATAAACAAATATTGTGTATGTATGAATTAATGCCTAAAAAAGGGGAAATCCCTAAACAAAAGGGGCAATCCCTAAACAGTGTTTCTATATTTCCAGATTCACTAAGGATAGCTAACATACTTCATTTAAAGACGTTGTCTAAAAGTTTGATTTCGAAATGAATTAAAACGTGAACTAACATTATATTGCAACGTTTAAACTGATTTATACAAAGTCCAAAGTAACACAGACATTATGAATTACAATTAGGTACGTCAACCTCGCGTTTTTGCGCTAACTGAGATATACTCATATAGTATGATACTTGTTTGAGCGAAAGATTTGCGATGACTATGAGTCAGTTCAGAACTTAACAGCAAGTGTGTAATTACAGTTCAGTTTAGTAAAAAACCTAGGAGGAAAGAACCCTTTTTAATTGTAGCAATACAATATATCATTTCACATTCGTAGCTAGTATATTCCATAACAACTTCCTACCTGAAGGGTAAATTTTGATCACCAGATCCCGATTTGCAAATAACGACAGATCTTCAGTGCTTATACTTGAATATATATATATATACGCTAATGCAGGAAGCAAAAGAGCAGTAGCGTGTTCGACCTCTTCTCAGTTCAAGATTGACGAAGAAATATGACGCCGCTTATTATCTGCATGTTAATCAGCAAAAAGCGATGGTGTGAAACATGGAATCTGAAATCGTGGAGCACCCTGGGATCTTTGAGTTCATATTGCAGTGCCGCGCCATGTATGGCACCGCATTATATTCTGCCTGTGAGTTTGTTAGTTTGTTCACATCAATACGTTTCCTTAATCGTCTAGTAAAAATTCCTTGCACATGCTAGGAATTTATTCATAATTTATTATTAATCTCTTGCACGTTTCCAGAATTCTCTTTTTCGAGGAATGTTTTCTTTTCAATTTTAATCTCGGACTGTCACGATTGCGTCGTATCTCCGGTTTTATGCACCTAATAAAGACAAAAATAGCAGCATTCGATTCAGCGTGAGAAATCAAATTACCAGGTGTCAGATGTTAATTTTACTAAACAACAGTATTCTAGCGATAAATGCATGGCCTTTGAAAGACAAGCGAAATTGTACTGTTGACAAAACTCACTTTGATACAGTTTTGACTAGCCTGCGCACATCTTCGTCCCCAGGGCCTAGCTCCATGGCCTGCGCACAGACTGTGATATATCATAATTACAGTCTGTGCACAGGCTAAGTTTTGATTTTTTATACGGAAGGTGAACGAGAGTTGACAGTTGTATTCGACCGACAGGAGAATGCAAGCAACCTCGTAACCAGGGTCTTTTAATGCAGGTTGTTGACCAGCCTAGTCCCAGGCCTCGTAAGCGCACGCTGTTAATTATGCAGGCTAGGGGGGCTGGTTGTTAATGTGGGTAAAAACGGCGGACGTCCAGGCGACCATTGCGGGCACCGCATTTTAGTACTGTGTTTGGTTTCCTTAGAAGTCACTTAATTACTAAGTAAAAAAAACAATAAGATACTGAATGGTAACCATTATAGTCATAAGATTACAAAGTATCCCCCGGCAAAGAATTAATCAATTAGAAAAAAGCAATTGCTTTTAAGCAATAATTTCATGGAAAATACAGTAATTAATATTATTATATGTATGCAGTAATTATTATTATAAAATAACATGTATATAACGCCTGTTCTGATTGGTTGAAGCCCGTGTTTGGATCAGGCCATCCAAACACGGAAATTTCGCGGGAATTTAAAAACAAATTTATAATGGTTAGTTATTTTATAAAACAATTACTTAATGGTTTCCGTGTTTGGATGATCTGATCCAAACACTTCGCGCGCTTTTCTTAACTCTCGCAACATTCCCGCGTGTTTGGATCAGGCCATCCAAACACGGAAACCATTAAGTAAATGTATATTATTATATTGAAATACAAGTTTGGAAAAATGCAGTCAGTATTTATAACGTATGACAACAATTTTTTTTTATAATCAGCTCCTATAATGGTCATTAATTGAAACAATTCGATGGAACTTTATGATAAAGCAGCATAACAAAATCTATTTTGCGGATTCCACGTTTTATATGTAGCTTTACCAAATGAGGCGAGATTGACATATCTCTCGTTAAGAAACAGAATGAATTATTGCTGAGGATAGAAAGATCGCGATCTGATCGTCGATAATCGTTGGTTATTTGCATAACATTAAGGCGGATTTCCATTCAGTGCAAAATGTAGCGCTATCGATTTTTTGCGATCACTTTGTCATGAAAATTGAAATGTGTTCATTCAAGCTCATCTAATGTGATTAGTTCCACTTGTCTGTTTGTACAGCTCAATGTCGGCTTCCAATTTCTTTATTTGTTCGTTGTTTTTCTAATGTTAATGGTGTTTTGATTTTCAAGTTTACATTTGTGAAGCCCGTTTCTGGAAAAGAGACATTATGGTATAAAAAGTGCAGGGGGCAATTATGTATTTGCCCCCTCCTACTCCTAAAGTGGGGAGGACCTGTAGGTCCGCCACCGCTCTTTAGGATTGAAGCCCTTGCAGGATCGTGTTTGAACTGTTTTAGTTTTAATCACTCACTCGTTTATTCTACGTTAGAAAACATTGATGAATGTCTTAGAGAACATGAAATAATTATATAGCTGTGATGAACCAAGATTTCGTCACCTATTCAAATTCAAAGGAGTCTCTCCTCTACCATTTAAAGAACGTGTAGAACGAGCGGGGTTCAGTCGTTTGTGGCAGGACCACTGTGGGATAAAAATCACACGTTCCCTTGATATCATGTTCTTCTGCAAGGGTTGTATGCATCATGCAATGCATCCTTGCATCTTATCCTTGCATCTTCTGCAAGGGTTGTATGCATCACAAGATCGTCAATTTGTCTCTTAAAAATCCAACTTACTGCCACCCAGTGATGCTCCGCAACCATATGCCCCAGTATTCTTAGACAGTGGATCTTTCCGTCCATCACTTGAGATTTCACCAACGTCAGGCGGAAGATGTAACTTCTAAAAATAGAACAAAATCTTTGTTCGAAGCAAATCCTTTGGCCTGGGGCCGGTTGTATAAAAACGCAGTTAACTTTTAACTTTTAGCTATAGTTGGTGAAAGAACTGACCAATCAGAATTCTGAGTTAACTACGATTTAACTACGCAAAATGTAGTTAAGCGTTTTATAGAACCGGCCCCAGGCTCTCATATCTCACGAACGGTTGGCGATGGCTATTGTCGGTGATCACTGATCCAGGCTTTACAGCAATAAATAGCTGTATCAACATGCGTCACATAGTTTCATGACTGAATGTTATATGTTTCAGAAATATCATAAACTATTCGGATACAATATAAATAACGCGTGATGGCTCCCAAAATTGTACCTATGGTACCATCATAAACAACTACCTCGATGAGAAATTTTCTTCGCCGAAGTTTGAACGCCAGATCCAACGTCTCAGGCATAAAGCTTGTCAGAGAATTGAGTCTTGGAAGACGAACAATATGAAATAAACCTACACAATTATTTCGAGAGAATTAGTAAACAGTTAAGCTGGTTTTCCACTGGATCGAAAAATTCCGCCTAGTGGAAAACCGGCTTTAGGTTTGGCGCAGTTAATTTTCGAAAATGCTTATGAATATTCATCACTAGACATTTTTTTCACGGAAGTTAATCAATGTTACGGATAAAGCGGTAGTTATGATAGGAAAGTCGAAAATGCACCAGGTAAAAACAAAAAAAAACGTCATCACAATTTCCGATCTAAATAACAACTTCTATTCCCATCTTCTCATCTTCTATTGCTTTCGTGGTAAATCAGTGTTAAGTATTTTTGCAAACGTCCAAAGAAACAATAATACCATGCAACTATTTTCTTAACCAACACAAAGGCATATACCGTTATAGTCTTTATATATTGGATTCGTTTCTTTCTCTGATCCTGCAAATGACTCAAACTTTACTACGGTGTCACAAAGTCTCTCAACACGATTGATAAATGTCGAATCCTAAAAAAATAGTAAAATACGTGCATGGTATGATGTTTTATCTCAGCTCCTATAGATGTTTAGGGTCAAAAGGGTCTCAAAAGGATTAAAAGAATTAAAGAATTGGCGTACTATTGGGCAAAACAAATTTTTTGGGTTTTTTTACGAACTTTGCAAAAAAAAAGATTACAGCACATTTGGGGGAGATTTTAGCTTAGCATGAGAGATAAGGTTAGTATTTCATAGCCTATATACGCCTTACTTTAATGCCAAGGTTATTTTCGCATTCATTTTCTAATTTTTCACGACGCGTTGAAGGTGTTGTGTTTCTCTTCTCGGGCCGTGCATGGGAATGATTTTAAATTATAAAGAGTATCTGTAGTTGCCGCGCATTTAAGAGTATATGAAGAATGTTGCTTTACGGTATGATATATTTGAGTTAACTGGCAGAGTTCACACATAACATCAAGTAGGAAAATAGCATTCGCTATTTTATGACATTGTCACTTTTTTATGAAAGTTGTTTTGAATTACGTGAAATCGACATTTCGTCGAAACTTCAAAAATTTTACGCATTTGGCTGTGAGAAAACCTCCGACATATTGCTCAGACAATTTTCAGAATTTTTTTCAGCAAATGAACCATCATCTCACCTGGTGAATATAAGAAGGAATTGTGATCAAACAAACAGCAAAGGAAGATCGTAATATTCCTCTGAGATAATACAAGAACATCGTTAATGAATGATCTTCATCACTATGGTTACACCACAACGGAGATTCCAGGGATTGTATTGCAATTCGTAAAATAACTCGATCTTTGATCTACATAATAGTCAGCATTACAGCCATTATTGTTTCATGTTTTTTATCACGCCAGTAGAGTGGGTGCTGATTTTCGTAGCATGTAGAAATTATGGTTAAAGAGGGTGGCGATTTTTTCCATCTTGTTAAATAATTGGTTGTGCTTCTTAAATAATGCCAAGTAGTTTCGTAGGGAGGACATCGTTCGCTGCTTTGGAACCCCCTTCTCCCGTTACCAATCTAGTTATAATCCAGTCAAAATATACATTAGTCCCATGTTTAAACTATGGGCGCTCTCCTTTATACGGTAAAAACGGCCAGACCGGTCCTGTTGTATTTCGGTACAGACAGATTACTGGTATTTTAGAGTGTTTTAAGAACTCTGCATTCAAGTATATCGTTATTTACATCTTCCTAGCACGGAAAATGCAGCTTCGCCGCTGTATCCGTAACGAAATACTCTATTTCAATTCAAAATATGACCGGTCTGGCCATTTTGACCACCTAAAGGTAAGCGCCCTATGTCTCCAATATACTCTTCTGTGATTTGCTTCTCATTTTGATTATTTGTAAATCAGTTTCTTATTAAAAATTAACGACTACATCAACAAGTTTCGCCAGAAAGCAAGGCAACATCACCAAGCTGACGTGAGGCGCAAGTCACTGTCAAACAGCAAATTCTTTTCAAAGAATGTTCACATTTGTTTGAAGCCGGCGAGAGAGCGAGTTTGCTAAAATGGTGTCGAATCTATACGGATGAAACAGACTGTGGTGGATAAATTTTTGGTAAGCAATGCTTTTGTACCTGCTTTATCTACAGCCAATGAAAATCATTCTTGCGAGGAGCTGCGACCCTACCCGGCTAAATTGCATTCTAGCTTCTCATAAAATCATAATGTTTTTTTACATGAAGCTGCACCAATATATAGTTTTAAACTGGATTCATATCCATGCAACAACTCGGAAATTAACGGCTCTGCCATTCCGGTACGTGCATGCGTTTTGACACGGTATACGTGTCGAGAAAGCAAAAGATATAGCTACTATGTGAATTCAGTAGGGTAAATTGAATAGAAATGATGATAAAAAATGATCTAAGTGCACACTAGAGGAGCCTGTTAATTATTAATTAGCACCGAAGGGTAATAGAATGATCGTAATATGAAGAGTGCTAACCTCTTTGTTAGTAGTAGAATGACCATTTTCCTCAATTACTTTTCTTATTGAGTTTAACAAATTTCGATATTCCGGATTTAATGATGATCTGCAAGAAATGACGTTAATCGTTATGTCTGATAAGCATCGATTGTTCATCACATATGTAACAGGTTAAATATACAACAAATATATGGACAGAATAGAATAAAAATGTTATTGTTAAAGTACGTGTGACATCAGGAATTATAAAGGTCGACGTAATGGCGACCTTAAGACGTTAACGACAAACCGGTGACCGCGCGAACGGCAAACTTTAAACCACATTTGAAAGTGAACCTTACAGGTTTTCGGCAGCTTAGTTCACATTTCATGCTTAAAGTTCCATGGTCAAGATTTCACAACTTTAAAAACAGCTAATTATCAAATGAGGAATACGAATTTTAGTTTGCCGTTTGCGGATAGCGGTTCATCGTATACGTCAATCTTAAAGCCCTGTTACATGGTGCAATTTTTCTTGCAACTTGCAATGCAATACTACTTTTGAGATATGTATATTTGGGAACGAAATTTTTTTGTTTATTACACTTCATGCACTTCCCTTCTGCAAGAATCTTCACTAATTTACATCTCTTAGAAGTAGAATTGCATTGCAAGTTGCAAGAAAAATGCACCGTGTAACATGGTCTATCTATAGTGTCTAATATCTGTGATCTGTCGACCATACAGTATTTTGCAAAAAACTTCGATGTTTTTCTGTTCAATAACATTCCCCATACACTACCTCGCGTTAAAAAGTTCATGCACGTAGAATTAACAGCCTAAACACTCGCTTTTCGATATCTTGAAGGGCTTTTTGCATATGTGCATATGAAAAATTCGCCATACAGCATGCAGCCTGCGTGACGGCTATCGTTGATATGTTTAAACTGGAAAAGTGCAAAAACTGTTATGCCTCGTTTATTGTTCATCCTTATTAGGGAAGGTGCTTGATTCTTGCCAAAGAAGAAAAAGTCCAGGGGTGCTAATCACCATTTACCTTCGAGAATCTAAAATTTCGGTGGAAAAGAAACGGTACAAAGCAAAACAACATTTTCCGGAAAATTCCGATGAAAATTCTTTGTACCATTTGCTTTTCCAACCGGAATATCCGATTCCCAACTTGAGGTAAATAGTAAGCGCCCAAGGTGTGCACCTCCCAACATTCCAATTAAAGATTTGTACCTTGTTTGGCACAGCGAATCTCCATCTTGTCCTGACCAGGTGTCTCTTGACTTATATTCGTATTTAGAAACTTTATTTATTCTTGCAACATCCACAGTTTTTGTAAAGTCAAAGAAGTGGCCAAATTTCACAGCGGCTGGGCGGACTTTGGGCATGTTTTCATACCTCCAAGCAATTTTCATGGATTGATCGCCTTCTGGCGGTTTATTCACGTCAGATGCCCCAGTCTCGTTAACGTCATCAACAGCACAGGGCAAATTCTAAGAAACACATAAACGATTATAGATACTTTATTCAGTATTATATCGAATTATCCCCCCATCCATATTACATGTTAAATAATAGTAAGACATTAAAGCTATACAATCCATTTTAGCATTGCATTGCTGAATTTGCTTCTTGAACACAATCATTGGCCTCAAACCTATTCACATTCGCTCTTCTATGACTGAAAACAGGGGTGGATCCAACACTAGGGCACAAATTTGCATAACAAAACAAAGTGGTTATTTTTAGCAGTTTTCTTGTGTCATGCAAACTAATGCACTAGTGCTGGATCCACCCCTGACTGAAAATAATACATACTTCATTATTGATATTAATCTAGCTAATATAAAAATCATTTTGAGCGTTTTCCCCATCCCAAATTTTTAGATAGATTGATGCCTTTGCATAATAATTTGCCTTTGCATAATAAATTTTCATGGTTCAAGATTCATTCCAACAAGAAAATGTTTAATGTTAGGTTACTAAAAGCTACTGTATTGCACCTTCCATATCTCCTCGGGATCATGACCTGCAGTGGCTAGGAACAAGGAATGTCTTGATACAACACCTTCAGCAAGGAAACACTTGAGTAATGTCTTGGAATAACAAGCATAGTTGTCTTCCTCTAAAATACAGGCAAATAATTCAGCTTGGGACTCCCGGTTTAACATGAAATATCTTAATGATTTACATAGACCTGTGTAAAATCTCTCTACAAATGACTAAATTCGACGTCTATAGAGGTAACACAATATGACATATACGATATTAATGCTCTAGAGGCAATTTCAATCCCACTTTAAATCAGTGGCGTAGACAGCATGACGATTTTCCCCCACTACTTTAGAAACAGTTGCGTAGCCAGCCTGACGATTTGTCCTCTTATGCTAATATTTTGGTGTTCATTGACTGTCAAAACAATGAAATGAATAATTATAATAACACGAAATTTACATAGCGGGGCAAAATCGTACGCTGGCTACGCCACTGTTTAGAAATTTATTGTTTTCACAGTCAATAATGAACACCAATAGGTGAGAAGTCATAGTCACTTGTAATATGCTTGGAGTTTCAACGTATGGGGCTTTGAAAGAACACTTTCATTTGAATCAGCTGAAAATATATATTATAATTAATGACATACCAATTAACAACACTGTTCCAACAGCAAGACCACCACCTACAAGCAACACAGTCAATAAATAAATGAATCACTGTTGTAGAAATACAGTAGTACTTAGAGATTATATCAGTTCTATGAAATTGGGAACCTGTTCACTATTAGCTATATGTAACTATGAGCATAATAAAATACTTTATCTTATGTAGATTTTAGGATTGGTACCGATGCAAAAATTGGCGCAGTATAAACCACTAGACTTGGTAGGGATGAAATTTGACCAGCTGTTAAACAATCTTTATCTTTCCTACATTTTTCATACCAAACTAAGAATAATGCATACAGGGCTATCCTCAGGATATTTCCCTGGGGGGTGGGGTGAAGGTAATCTAAACTGTCTGATTGACAGACTTGTACTGACTACACTCTGGATGAAACTTTGTCAAGTTTCTATTGCTCGGTCGATAGTAATTACGCAGAGAGTAAAAACAGGATGACATAGTGATATTTACCGTCTGCGAGTAGTCGACGATATTCTTTATAGTATAGTCAAAAATATTAGTCTACCGACTAAAATAGCAATTTTACCGAATGAACCTCAGAATTTCTGGGGGGGGTGACACTACAACAACTTCTCCTCCCATAGCCCCAGGCCTGAATGCATAGTGTAAATGTGGCTTTAGTATTTTAATCTTAATATATATTGGCAAATCTATGGTGATATGGTCTTTTCGATGATACGTTCACTACCCAGGTTGCTTTTATTCAGCTATTAACTGGCAATATCTGGAAATAACCCTTATTTTGAAAGCATATGTATACAATTGTTAAGGAAAAACCTTTTCATCATTTTAGCATAAAAGGTGCATGTGTACATACTTCAATACTAATTAATACTAGATAGAATTATTGCAAACCTTTAGTTTCTGCCACAAATTTTGTTTAACAAATAAGCGGGGAATATATGTTTGCATGCCTACAGTACGTGTGCTATGTACAACTCCTTAATTGTATGTATTTCGAGAGTTATATAAAAACAATTATTCTTATGTCAATGAATTCAGGGTAATCCTGGCAAAATATTGTGTACAAGTATTTTTGAAATATCCCTGGGTTGAATACATTTTTAGACACAGTACTTTAGGCTTTTCAATGCCAAGAGCATCCCATTGACATATGTTATTACTTAAACGGTTTAATCTAAAATCCAAAGTCACTGCAACATATAGGGTAATAATCTTAGCAAATGCCAGGGTATGGCTTAATAGCTGCAAGGGTACCTTTGAGGGAGCGAGGCAAATGATAGTGATTTTAAAAATTGTTGCCACATTGATATGATGCAATTTCAAAGAAAAATGCATATGTATAGTTGTAAGTTGCTGGTTGCAAAATTGTATTAAAAATATAACTGATTCAGCCTGTATTTTCATTTAACATTCCAGTAAATGATTTAAAACATAAATTGTTTAAATAAGAAATATGACTTAAATATAATGGTTCAAATAATTATAAATGTAATAGGACCATTTAAATAAGAAATATGACTTAAATATAATGGTTCAAATAATTATAAATGTAATAGGACCAATAGGACCAATGGTGGTGCCTTGCTCAAACCTAATTTAACCAATCTTTCTCATAAAATAGACATTCTTTAATGAGCCCCCAGCCTTAACTTACATTAATTTAATTAGGAGGAAATTTGCTAATACATAAGCCCATATCCAAATTAGGGAGATATTTCATATAGCATTGTGAGATAATTAAGACAAATCAATTACACATATACTACATGATGATGCAACAAAGTATATAACATATTATATTAGTACAATAGTTTATTTATAACATTTATATTTACCTAACAAACTATCCAGAGAAGGTACTCCTGTAGAAATCAATAATTGATTATTACGTAAAGATATTTTAGTTCCTGCAGGATAACTGGAGTGACCACGATTACTTTTCTTCTTGAAACTCGATTCCATTTTCTACTCTGCCAATAATGGTAAATTCATCCTTGATAATTAAGCATTAGAGAGAACACAGAAAAGACATTAAGAAACCACAATCAGTGAGCTATATAGAGCTCACTAGTTATACACTGAGCTGTGTATATGTACTGTGGCTAACCAGCCTCGTACCCAGCGTAATATAGAGATCTGTGACTAAGTGTGCGAGCGCGCGGGGGTGCTTGGGGAGGACGCGACAAGATAGCGAATAAAGGCGCCTGGGTACGAGGTTGGTGGTAGATAGATAGATAGACAGATAGATGTGTTTCTAATTAGGAGACTATACTGCTACTAGGAGTATAGAAAATTTCAATCACGTTCTTAGCTTATAAACTGCTACGTGGTTCTACGTGGTATGGTCAATTAATGGTACGGCACATTGCACTTACGTCATAACGCATAAAGCCATAAAGTTTATGACCTAAGCGTTATTTTTCTTCATAAATCTTTATAAGAATTACGCACTTATGCCAAGTTTCTTTTACGTATAGGGGTTTACGTCCAAGCCCCAAAGGTTCAGCCTGAAATTCGGTATAAATTCGAATAGGTATAGCCTGGATTTCAGGTTTGAAATTTGTAGATAGAAGTTCAAACTTTGGAGTGGAAACACTGATGACATATGAGCATTCATATGAGTGATGTGTACTGAATTGATCCTGATGTTGAGAGAATCAAAATAGCTCAAGAGAAATATCAAGAGGTCGATAATCTTCAGTTTCATGTTGGTGATAGTGTGACTGGATTCCCAAACGATAATTCGCCTACTATGACGTTCATGTAACGATGAATGCATTTCACTGGTTTCCACACGAAGAGAAGAAGATTTACATACAGAAAGCCTACAATCTTTTAGTCTGGAGGAAAACTGGCATTTTGTTTTCGGATAGGGTAGGCCCTGTTGGAGCGGACGAATCAGAGCTTCTCAACATCCATTTCTTGAGCAAGGATCAAGTTGAAAATCTGTTTCAGGAAATTGATCTTTTCAACAACGTTGTTGTTAAACAATTCATTCGAAAGGAATATTTTCAGTCCTACGAACATTTTCAAGCGTTGGATGAAAGCGTCGACTCATCATGATCTCGAGGAGTTTGATCCAGCTTATGTGCACGGGGTTTGGGATGAAATGACTCTTTTAACGACGATGGCAGCCTCATAGTCAATGTACCCGCTTTGTCTGTCACAGCAATTAAGCACTGATTAGATTTGAATATTTACTGTAGCTGAATTTATGAATGATGTTGCAAAATAAGGGACACGCCAGTGAATTTGATTAAACTACAATCGAACACAGTAGGAGTCACGAGGAAACATTTTATTTTTCAATTAAGTTACACATTAAAGTTGAAGTCCGTTCCATGCATGAGGTTTGCTTCATAACAAATGAAGGCCCTCTGATGTGAAAATTCCTAAATTTCGCATGTTTTCTTATTTTTTCTTAACATAAACTCTCGTTCATATTAATTTAGAAGCGTAACAACCTAACAGTTTTTGGATATTCAGAGAGCATATCGTATTAGTATGCTTCTTTCAATGCCATTAGGACTGTTCATTTTAAAAGTTGATTTTTCAACATTTTGTTTATGCTTTGTGATGCTCCCACACCGTTAGTTCAACTTTAATTTTTATTTTACCGGATGAATACGATGGTAGTATTTCATCTATCTGGTTTATTCGCATACACATGTACCAAGGATCCGGGAGCCTTAGCAGTGACCACGAGTACGAGATTCGAGGAGCCTTTCTTACGATGACGTTTTGGGGTACTTTCAATTTTTTGAAATGGGTTTAAGAATTATGATTTAACATGAAAAGCAAATTTTTGAGAATCAACAGACCATTTGAAGAATAAATTCAGCTTAAAATTAAAGACAGTCCCCGTTACAAGATCGTGGTTTTGAAAACTGTAAGTACCCCAAAAATGGCTGCATATTCGTCATCGTGAAAAAGGCTTATTCGTCATTTTCGCGCGTTGTTTGCTTACGTTATCAGCCAAAACTCGTAGTCACAGAGGAAATACACTGAGGTGACAGTAACAGAGGTGGCCATAGACATGCATATCTATATAAATTAATATACGGCGCGGAAAATTTTGCCCCCGAATTTCTAATGCGCTCTGGCAAGCAGTTTTTGCACTTTTAGAAGAAAAAGATGCAATTTTATAAATCAGAGCCTAAATATCACAATTACTGATATATTATATTAATTGCGAATGTATATAGGCTATATCATTATTTTATGAATGCTGCATACTAGAAATACACCACACAAGCTAAAACACAAAATATGGCAACTGGTATACTAGTAAAATTATTGGGAATTACATATAATATACGGATGTAACCTTCTTAAAATACCCCAAAAGCTATATATAAAGGGATTTATCTCTATTATTTACAGATTGATTACTCCATTCTAGGAGTATATCGGTATAAAATATTATTATAATATAGCTAGTGTCACGGCTGATCAGTATTTCTCAATTAATGCTCCGTTCACTAACTATACTGACCAAGACTGCATCAGAGCTGAAGAAATATTGCAACAAAACGCCATGTGAAGTATAATTATATAATATAAGGTCCTATAATATTCGTACGAGCATCCGAATAATTATATATTGACACGAATTTTTCGCAGTTGGCGATCCGAGCCAGGGAATTTCTTATGCATTGAATTCAGCCTGCTAATCTATATACCTAGAGAAAAAATCAAATGAACTTTATTTACTCGTTGACCGAAGATTTACAGTATAATGATCATTTTTAAAATAATTAATACATATATAGGTGTAGAAACTTTTCGAGCATTGAAGCTAAATGAACCGTTAGGTTTTCTGGTTAACTTCCATTGTTATTCTTATTAATTAAAATAATGTAGCTACTGTCAGACCGAATTAAAGAAAATATCTTAGTTTCTCAATAGTTTATGTGAAATTCATTGTTTTCACAGTTGTCGCAGAATTCACTGGCATTGTTCAGTAAATTGACCAGCACACGCTGGTTTTACTTTTATCTTTAAAACAATTTCACATAACAACTCTCGTACAACAATCTAAACAATTTCAAAACGCTCTAAAACAATTTTCCTATAATTGCTGGCGAGCGCAGCGAGCCAGCACACTAATCTGGAGGTTGGCTGCGTACGCCTCGGAGCCTGGGTACGTATATTGAGGCGAAATCTCGATTTTTGTCATTCATTCTGGCAAAAACCATATATTGTATGCGTTCTATATATGGAAGTTACCTGCGTCTGCAAACCCCGGCAAGGTTATTTCCGTCATATTGCCTGCAGGGCAAAAAAACTGGCTTCGAGCTGCGCCGGCCCGCGCGACCTGCCACTGACTCATTGTTGTCGTACATAGATTAAACCCGACAATATTGTCGGGAAGAAAGAAAACTAAATATCTGAGCAAGTATTTGGGCTAAAGACCCCGGAATACCACCAAACGATAGAGCTTGAAAAGAGGATTTAAATAGTATAAAATGTTGATATGTTTGATATGCAAGAAAAGGTTGCGTGTGGCAGAGAACTCAGAGATATCTGTCCGCACACGGTGAGCTGTCGGCTGAGCTAACAGGCACGAGTAACCCGTAGCTCAGCTGATAGCTCTCGACGTGTGCTGCAGGCTTAAAATGCGTGCGATTTATTTATTATTCAATATTACACATCAAAGTTGCCTAATTTATAGAATATTGCGCAACTGAATACAAACTAAAACGGTTAAAGTGAGTTAGTACAGTTAGTTCACATTTTCAGGATTATTTTGATATCTTTAAGGCCCACACAGAGGCCGGACGCGAATTGGCAAAGCGGCGCGAATTTTCAACGTTTTTAATTTTTCAAAATCAAATAAATTTTTAACTATCATAATATCCTTGCATATTACATAACAATAAAACATTTTGATTGCTCTAGCGTCCATAGTTTCCAAATTTTACTTCCAGAATTTAATTTATATGCTTTTGAAAACTCGAAATTCGCGTAGCGTTGCCGCATCGCGTCCAGTCTGTGTCGGGCTTTGGCGTCAAAATCGAGCCTTTAGAGGTTTTTTGCCGATTTTTCTTATATAAACATTCATGATGATATGAATTATCACATCACCGGCAATACTATCTCACAATAATACAAATATCGAAAAAAAAATCGGGCAAAAAAGCCAAAAACTGACCCCTTGCTCCAATTTTACACCAAGAATCGATTTTTGGTGCCAAATTTACCCTAGAGGGAGGGTATCATAGAGTTTTGTCGCCTTTCCAACCGCATGACAACATTCCGAACACGCAGTAAGCACGCGCTTAACTTAAGTGAATATTACGGCGAATTGGCAACATATCGATCTAAAAAAATCATGTTATTCATGTATCTACTGAGGACAATTTCCTCCTTAAAATGGTTCTATCTTTATTAAAATCAGGCAAGCATTTACACAGAAATCGCAAGTTAAAATGAGCTAACCACTTTAAGATGGCATCTTATCCGATGACAATGAGTTTTAAGATTAAATACGAATTGCGGTCGTATGGAAAGTTTTCGTTTTTGCCACTTCGTAGGCAAACCGCAAGTGAACACTGAATTTAACGATTTCTAACAAAGCACTCGTTTTATTGAGCGGTTTAACTTGCTTGAAGTCACAACAAAGGACGATTTGTGTTGATTTGTATTTCCGCGTGATGACAAGCGCACGACAGCCGCCCCGAAAAGCCGCCACCCACCTCCTATAATAACCTTCAATTTTCATACTTGGAAGCAAAGCATTGCGGTCTCTGGGCACACCGGAGACGAGATTGAGTATTACTGTTATTAATAGAAATATAATCCCGTCTCGCCACAACAACACAGTGCTTCGTTAGAAATGATGGCAAAAAGGAAAACATTCTGTGATCGCCATATGTATTGAATCTTAATGTAAATGCCTGAATTGGCGGGTCGCGCAGCTCAAACCCAGTTTTTTTCCCTGCAGCCGCAGGCAATACGGCGGAAATAACCTTGATGAGTCTATTCTCAGG